AATAATTACACCCTTAACATGCATATACCATAATGATACAATTAAAAAAATTCTTAATTCTAAAATTAAACTAAAAAAATGTTTTCACATAAATATATAAAGTTAAAAAATAAGTACTACAAAAATAGCCTTAAAAGAATAAAAAAAATTTTCCATATAAATAGAAAAAATATAAATTAAATAAAATATATTTACAAAATAAATAAAAATTTTACAAAAATTACATCAATCAGCAATAGTCAACTTAAAACTTTTACCTGCTAAAATATTTTAAAAATCAAAATATTTATATATGAAATTGACACAAAATCAAACTTATTTTGAGGGAGACGAGAAGTTCAGAGAGCAAAAATAAAAAAAATGGAGTTGACTTTACGTTGCTTGTACTACTTAACAGTAGCAATTTGTACTCCACAATGCAAATGTAGCAAAATTTAAGTCAATTAATAAGTTTTTTTAAAATAAAGCACTCAAATTTTATTATAAAAAATAGTTCAAAAATCAAAAATCAAAAATCAAAATGATAACAAACAATAGTTAGTATATTCTGAATTAATGCCAGCCAAAGAAAAAAGGGGGCTAAAATGAATTGTCTACTAATTTCACTTTATTAAATATTAATACTATTTTTGATAATAGAGGTGATAGTAGAGGGATGATAGTTGACATTAACAATAAAAAAAGGGGTAAAATGAATTGCCTACTAATTTCATGAAGTACAAAAATCAAAATGAAATGATACCAAACAATAGTTAGTATATTCTGAATTAAACTTTGGTATTAATGATTCATCTCGAAATCTTAAGATATTTGGATTAATTGATTAGGTTTCAATCTCCACCAACACTGATATTTGGATTAGTTGATTAGGTTTCAATCTCCACAAACACTTTAGATAAATCCTTCTTCTTTAAATTGTAAACTATTTAAAAAAAAAAAGAAGCTAGTATATTCTTTCCATAACAGTAGAGAAAAGGATAGAAGAAAAGAGTGGATGAGTAACAAGTGAAGGAAGCAAGGACCAGTGTAAAGCAGAGAAGGGAAAACTTTGAAACACAACCTCCTAAATGCCAGCCAAAGAAAAGAAGAAAGAATGGCTTAACAATTAAATAACCATTTTGCCCCTCACTACCTAATGCAGGAGGGAATTTACGGAAGGAAATTGAAGGGTAAAATGGTGATTTTAAGTACGGAAGATGGGTGTTTGCGACAGAGGGTTGAGGCTAAAAGGACCACAATGCCCCCAAAACAAACCTAAGACAGCAAGCACACTATTTGTGCCACTTTCAAGGTCAAATGGTAGTTACAATATGAAATTTGAAGTGAGAGAAATGGGCAAATAATGAGTGATGAGAGAGATAGGAAGGAGGTTTGAGATAGAGAGGAAGAAAAGAGTGAATGATTACGTGTATATATGTAGGAAAGAGTAGGGAGTTAAAATTCTTATATTTAGATATATTTAGATGCTAAACAACTTAGTAAAATAGGTAATATAATTCAAAAACATCTCAATCAATCTTATTAAATAGAACTATATATACTCGATTATTCTATCAAATTAAAAATTATAACATACAAATGGTAAACTCTTTTTTGAAAGGTAATAATACTTTTATTTATTTTTAGTGTATAAGAGGTATTTTTATTCATAAAAATTAATATTAATATCAAATTGAACCATACTTAAACTCAACAAGGTTTAAACAATAGTTTATTAATGATGATGACCCAAAATTTCATTAAAACCATGACTATTTTAATTGATCCAACATTTAAATAATAAATAACAAGAACAATATGATTCAAATTTTAAATCTTCAAATGCATAATTTGTTGGGCATGTATGAATATTCAATACAACATGCAGTACACACTTTCAACAAAGTTTTCTTTCATCCATTATTTTTTAAATTGAGTAAATTCCATAAGAAAAAAAAAGGGTTGAAACTTGAAATGTCGATTCATAGCAATGAGAAAAACTCAAAAGTCAGTAAAGCAAGCAATGAACATGAATTTTATAACTACCAACTTTCCCAAGACGAAATGAAATATTATTTCTTTTACAGTGGCTATTGCAGAAGCAGAGACGGTTCGGTTAACGTCTTCAACGGGGAGCCACATGGATGGAAAGCTCATGGTATAGCTCCGTCAAAGAAAATTCGACATTTTCTGCTCACAAAAGAAAAAAGATTAAATCTTCATTTTGGTCCCTAAATTATTGGATGAACCTCTAATTTGATCTCTAAACTAAAAAATCTTTAATTTGATCCATAAACTATTGTACAGGGGACCTCCAAGTTGGTCTTATTGTTTATCAATTTACACTAAATTGGTCCTTATGTTCAAAAACTAATATGTTTGTTATTAACATAATATTTGACCATTAAATTATTATTTTTTATCGTTAAGTTACTATTTTTTGTCATTAAATAAAGAACATGTTAGTTATTTTTTGTACAGAATAACTAATTTTAGGTAAATTGATAAATAATAAGGATCAAATTAAAGTTTATACAATAATTCAAGAATCAAATAAAAAAATTTTTTAATTTAAAAACTAAATCAAGGATCATATAATAGTAAGGAACCAAATTGAAAGTTTATCGAAAAAAAAAAAAAAAAAAACACAGGCGCTTATTTGCATCATGGCTTACGCAAACTTCCCCTTTTTTTTTTTAATAAAGACAATTATTTATTGTTATCCTTACATATTTTTAATATGGGTGTACGTAAGAGGAGTTACAAACCGAACATAATACCATCCAGCAATATTCTCACTTATAAAACAAAATATTACTACTACGTACGCCCATTACGTGAACAACGCAAACACGATAAAGACTGATGTCATCGCTACGTCCGTCACCCAACCTTGCTCATCCACTGCTTCATCGAGGTTTGAATGGGGGTGAGTATTAGGTATGAATATAATTTTTATTTATAAGTATTTTATTTATTTAGATAAGTATTATATTTAAATTGTAAAAAAATTAGATAAGTAATAAATATAAAAATAATATATTTGTAAATATTACATTAAATAATAAATATATGAGTTTAAAATTTTATCTAACTTATTTAATTGATTTGTTACATGTATTTAAACAATTAAATTTTACACATATTTATTACATTTAATATTTATAAAACAATAATAATTTTTAAAAACAAAAATAAAATATAGAAAAGCAAAACTTGTAAACTAAAGAAAGATAAATACAGTAATAATAACTCATAAAAATAAAAAACTTTGAACTAAACACATGATACGTATAATAATAATAATACTCATAATTTTTTTTCTATTAAGAGAAATATACAAATATATAATTATAAGTTATTTAATATCTATTAAATTAATTATCAAATATAAAATTTTAAGTATTTAAATAAATATTAAATTTACACTTGCGCTTTCGGTTCAGTGGCGTTAGGCCACATATAAGTGCGTTCCCTTCTCCTTAGGGTAACGGTTTGAATTTGACCTATTGTGAATTTATTTAAAAATAAATAAATATTAAATTTAAAAAATTATACCTAAAAATTTTTATATTAAATATCTAATATAACTCAAAACTTGTACTAAAAAATGCTTACACATGGTCTGAACATTGAAAAGATTGCCCACCGGTAGACCTGACAATTTTTTGCCCAACCCGTTAACCCGTTCATTACCTGCCTGTTTGAAACGAGTTAAGGTCATATATTTATGACCCGTTAATGACTCGTTAAGAAAACCTGATGAGTCACGAGTCAATAACGGGTTGACTCATCGAGTTAACAGGTTTGACTCGTTTACCCGTTTAAAAATTTAAAATTTTTTAATTTATTATTTATTTATTTTATTTTTCAATTCCTAATCTCACCTAAATCTCTAATAATTGACTAATTTTCCCTAATTAACTAATTGATTATCTTAACTCATCATCTTCTAGAAGTAAAAATAATCCCACTCCATTCATAACTCACCTCCCGACCTTTTTTATTCTTACTTGCCTTAATACTCTCGAAAACTCTAACTCTTTAACCTCCATAGTCCATACAGCCTTCGACTTTTAAGTTTCAACTCCACCTTTTCTCTTTAATCTTTAACATGGTCTCAGACTTAGATCTTAGTCTTATCGAGTTACCTTTGCGTCCACTCAACCCTTTCTTTTTTTCTCCTATGAGTTCATCAAGTGCTCTTTTTGTCACCAATTTTTCTCTCTAAAAACTTCAAGGTAAGTTGTTTATTTATTCACTTATTTATGCTTTTTAGTTTTCTTTTCATTCCAAGTAAAAATTTTACTTGATTTTCTCCTTTGCTTACTTAGATGCATTCAATTGATCATTCTTTGAAAGCAATGACCAAAACAAATATGTTCTAATGGAGTTTGTGTTTTTTGGTTGCCATGCTACTACTACCTTTTTCTTTTTTTTTTGGCTATTGAGATTTTTAAGTGTAGTGTTCTTGAATTTGATTAGCATTGTTCTTTGAAGAGAAATAAAGAAGGTGATTATGAGGAACTATGAATATGTATATATTAAATTAATGAAAAAAAATTATTTTTATAAGATGTTGAATTTTTTTTAAATCTTTTAAATAATTTTCTTTGAGTGATAATAGGTATAAATTATAGAAAAAAAAATTTAGTTAGGTCAACCCACAAGTTGACTCGTGACATGTGATGGGCGGGTTAGGATCTACCTTCATTGACTTGTAACTCGTTTTAACCCAACCCATTTTAACCCGTTACCTGTTTTGACTCGACTCTAACCCGACCCAACCCGTTCGTTTGCCAGGTCTACCTCTCGACAGCAATGGTCAGCAACAATCTAGAACGGCAAATGGGCTTAAAAGCTTAAAACTCCCTTCGATTTCGAGCCCTCCACATGAATTTGTGGGCCAAAACTCAATCGATCCCATTTCGTTTTTTCAGTCCTACCTAGAAGCCCAATTCCCATCTTCCATGTAAATACTAAATAGAGTAACTCAATGTTTGAGCCCATTTAATATACCCATTCTTTTGGTCGTTATTGTAACGGCACTAGCCCGTGAGCTCATTAAGTGTACTTTCTTTTTCAGCTCTAATCACATGCGCATTTTTGGGCTTCAAATCCAGGAAACTATTAGCCTCTTTTTCTCCGAAAAATACTATTTTTTTAGTTCAGAAAATATTATTATTTTGTTAAGAAGTGATATGAATAAAGGTTTGGAATATTTACAATATCATCTTAGTGTGAATAATTTTAATAGTTTATATATGATCGTGAAACTGGTTAAATAAAAAAAATTTAGAAACATACATTATAAAAAGGAAGAAGTAAAAATACATGTGGAATCCTCTCTAAAAAATAGTATATGTTTGTTTTAAATAATATTGTTTTATTTAATTTAAATTTAAAATTTTATTTTATTAAATATTATATTTGTATTTAGTAATCAATTAATTTTTAAATATAAAAAGTTAGAAATCAACCTTATTCTAAATATAAAAAGCTAGAAATCCATCTTATTAATAATATATATTATTTTTTACATAAAAATATCAAGATTTAATAAAATTTATTTTAAAATTTTAAATCTGATTTTTAGTTTTAAAATGCAAGTATTAATATTTAATAAAGTGAATTTTTTGAATTTTAAATTTAGTTTTAGTTAAATAAAAAATGACACTATTTAATATTGAGATTTTAAATTTTTTTGAGTGTAGATTAATATATAAGGTTAGTGCTTAATGCTAATTCAAAAAAATAAAAATAAAACCTTAACTTATATTTGAAAACTAACATCTTTATTTAAAAATAACAAATTGACCCTATTAAGTGTTAATATGTAAATTTAAAAATTGATTATATATTTTAATATAATTAATTTTTAAATA